TATTTTGGCAAAACCTCTAAAATGTGGTTATTTTGTGGCAAAGGGTTGTGTAAACCGGTTATTTTTATAAATTTCCCTAATTATAAATCATAAAAACGAAAATAACAATAAATTATAAACTATAAAACGAAAACCGTAATTCACGGATCAAATCGCATTTTTTTTTCCTTAAAAATATAGATACCAATCTCAAGCTAATTTTATTTTTGGTAAAATATTCTCAAATAAAAATGGTCAAATCTAACAATAATGTTTTTTCAATAATTTAAATACTTTTATTTATTAATTGCTTTTTTAAATATATTTAAATTAAATTGTTGTTCTTATTTTTTCTTTTTTTGAAATATTTATGAGGCGTTGAACGCGTGTAAGACTCTAATTTAGGGTTTTTTTTATCTATCTTGTAATTTTTGACTCTTATCTCGAAAATGACGGGTTCAAGAAAAATTATTGGTGACCCTGTTCAATTTAATGTCTCTTAAGTGTAAATATCTGTGAATTAAGGGTTTGAAGCGATTATGACTATGCATTTGAGTAAATTATGCTACAGAACTGTCTGTATACCAATTTCCGTGTTATAATCACAATTGTTTTAAGTATCTCAATAGTAAAAATATTTAAGATCTATACGCGATTCATAAATACATTACGAAATTGGTATCGATTCGGATATACATTTGTATGAAGGTAGATAGGAAAATATGTATGCTAGTGTTCTACATAGATCAGTATTTCTATATCTGCGAAAGGAAATTAATCCGGGGGGGGGGGGAAATCTAGTCAAAGAAGTCAAGTGGAGAATGGATGTAGGAGCGTGAATTTAAATTGATGTGTGTGAATGTATGTTAAAACCAGAGGACTTACTTGCCTAATGGAGAAACGGAAGAGAGCTTCGATCGCTGACGACAACTGTTGCGAAGGGGGATACAGGGGTTAAATATGAAGAGGGGGATGAGAAAGAAGCCACCTGACTTTTGGCGGAAGTTTTGATGTACTAAAAATGTATATAACGTTATGTTGTTTTATATTAAGAAAAAAAGTAATTGAATATTGTTACTCAACAATATATCTGTCATAACTCAGTAAATTCAATTATACGTAAAAATTTACAATTACACACTTCAGATAACATTTTTTATACAGTAGATTGACCACTAGATTGTTTTATGTCTACACATCAATTTATGCAAATAGAAAGTTATATATATATATATATATATATATATATATATATATGTGTGTGTGTGTGTGTGTGTGTGTGTGTGTGTGTGTGTGTGTGTGTGGGTGGGTGGGGTATTTGATCCTCTGATAATCTGAGTATTTTCGACCCTTAAGGGTGAATTGGTACACTGAATAGAACAGAACATGAATCATTTTTTCATGTTTGACATAAATTTTATGTGAAGCAGATAGAAACAGAGTGAAACAAAATGAAACAGGCATGCTCCACCTCCATCACATGGAACAAGATGGAACCAACCTATATTTTACTAATATATCATCAAAATAAAACTTAATTCTCTATTTAAACATCAGATATTTCACCATTTTTACATTTTATCCATTCTTTAAATTTTATTTCTTGTATTTTATCCTTAAAATTTCACTTTATCGTCCTCAAAATTTTATGTTTACACTTTTTTATATTTTGGTTAATTTATGTATTTTATTAAAAATTAATAATAATAATAATAATAATAATAATAATAATAATAATAATAATAATAATAATAAACACATTATAGAAAAGGTATAAAATAAAAACCCAAAATTAATAAACTTTATATTTTAATGTTATTTTAATCGCTTTGATGAAAACTTTTTAATGATATATTTTGTTATAAAAATTATTCATTTTATTATAATTTAATAATTTACATAAAATTAATCAAAATATAGAAAAAATATAAACAACACATTAGGGATAAATTGATCATTTTAACAGTTTTGTCATGTCAAGTTCTATCTTACCAAATACTGAACAGTTGTCATGTCATGTTCTGTTTTATCTGTCATGTTCTGTTTGGATACCAAACGTACCTTATTATTGTAAAAAAAAAAAAAAAAAAACTTACAAGGATCATTTGTTCCATTTGGCTTCTCTTGGATGCAAAGAATCACAACTCAAGAGTATGAATTTTGCACATTGTGACAAAAGTTAGGGTTTTTATCAAATAACCCCCTTCTATAAAACTGTAAAATTTGTTTGTCACTCATAAATTTTTTGACTTCAATATTATCTGTGCACATCCAATTTCGTATTAAAAAATTTCAACTATACGAAAAGAAACACAAATTTTGAAATATTAATGAATTACATCTGATCTAATTAAGAAAGTTATATTTTGTGAAGATCTGATAATAATGATTCACAACCCAACAAATCTGCACTACGGTGAATGTCGATACTGAGACAACTGTATCGATGTTGTGCATAAATACTTGCTGTCAAGTGCGTGAGAAGAGATGGACTTGAAAAAACGACAATTTTCATGAAAGAAACGAGATCAGAAATGTGCGGGTGTTTACTCAGTCAAATTGATGTGACGTGACTTAGAATGTGTGTGAAAGAATGAGTACACTTACTTAACGAGATTGATAGATACGGAAATTTCTGATCGCCGATTATAGATGTTGCCGGGAAAGGTAAGAAGTGGTTCAATGTGAAGAGGATCAAGTGAAAGCAAAATCTTGCTTCTTTAGGTTGAGATTTTGATATATCGGAAGAACATGAGTTGTTATTTATATAGAAATATAACGCATATAAATCAAAAGATTATATATATATATATATATATTATAATGGTTGTTGCGCTTTTTTATTTATCATTTATCGCGACGAATATAAAAGAAAATTGTATACATTGAATTCTTAAAAAATTAAATTTATTAGTTTTGAATTGTAACACTTTAGAATCAGATTTGCATGTAACCACATATTTCATATATTATGAAATACAATTTACACCTTTGGTTCAAATATATACAAAAGTTATATTATAAAAGTAGCTACCAATTTTTTTTACATAATCTCAGTACAAGACTTGTTAATATAACAAGTATTCATATACAACAATATCATATCATCCCAAAAATCCACATGCAAACAATCATAAATTCTTCATAATTTTCCCTTTCCTTTATCATCCGATTGTGTCTGATCTGTATTTTACATTTTAAAACACCAAAATGAGGGTTAGACCATGAGGTTTAGTGAGAAATCATTTTGATTGCTATTACAGGGTGAAAATCATCAAAACACTTTTATAAACTTATATTTGTATAAATAACAAATAAACAACGTTTTTCAAAACAATGAAGATGAGACAACGCCCATCTATCGTGTCAAATAATCAAATATACCTTTTTATCGCATAACACATAAATTTATTGCATCACATAGATAAAACCATAATTTTATCGCATCACAAGGATGAAACAACCCCATTTCCTCACATCACACAGGTGTGATGACCCATCTCATCGCATCCAATGTATGCGATAAACACACCTTATCGCATCAATGGGGTGTGGCAACTCAATTTGTTGCAACACAAGGATGCGATAAAATCAACCCATCGCATCAATAGTATGCGATAACTCAAAGTCATCGCATCATAAAGATGCGACAATAGTTTGTTATATGATCAAAAATCCCATTTTTCACATTTTCTGATTATGTCACCCTTATTCCATAATGCACATCTCTTGATTATGTCACCCTTATCCCATAATACGTCTCTCCTGAATATACCCATTTTCCCAAAATATGTCTCTCCTGATTATGTCATCCTTATTCCATTATACACATCTCCTGATTATGTCACTCTTATCTCATAATACGCATCTCCTTATTATGTCACCTTTATTCCAATCATTTAATATAAACATATCAAAATACAAAATTATGCCATATATAGCATAATAACAGTTTTCGAACTCCCCACATAAATAACCATAAAGTTATGTTTATTCACACGGTAAGATGAAAGGTTTTAAATTAAAACTCACCTTAAAATTTCACAAAGATGAAGACAAACAACAACAAATAATCAGATTAAGAATCACATAACTGACTTCTTCTTCTTCCCATTCGATTCTATTTTTGCTTCGGTTTCAAAATCACACACACAAAGAGTTTTCTTCTTTTTTCTTTCTTTCTACTTACTTTAACAACCCTCAAATAACAAACATAAACAATTAAGCGGCACTGGGTTAAAAACAATTTAAGCACATTAACCAGATAAACCCTTTAACCTATAACCATTATTCGAAAACACACCGAACGTTATAACTGATAACCCGATTATCACATGAATTCAAATTTATATCGTGTTCATTAGTACTCATAATTTGGTATTTAGTACCTTTGATTGTAATTCTTAAGTTTCCATTATTTTATGGTTGTTGTAGTTAGTGTTCTAAAAGGCGCGTCATGACGGCATTGCACGTCTACACGTCCTGTTAACCTTCATAGCAACGGCGTAATGTGCGGCATGGTGTGGCAAGTCACGATCATGCGTCATGGTGTGGCAAGTCACGTATGTCCCTTTTTGTTTGTGTTGCTCTTACCTGTTCTAAGCATTTCTTTTCACAATATTTGATCATGCGTACTTGATCTACCTGTTTAATCTAATGTCATGGCATTGATGTGCATACTTATGCTGCTATTTCATCTTATTTCACTGTGTACTTCGTTCCCAAGTCTGCTTTTAAGCTTTTTTGAATCCTTCTCATTTTTTTTGCTTTTATATCAGTTCTACTCTTGGTATTAAAAAATATCGCGGGTCGAGATTCTTTTATGGAAACGACCTCTTTACTTTTGGGGTACACTAAAGATTGTATACTTTCCCTCCCCAAATCCCGTTTTGCATGGGATTCACTGTGTTTGTTTCGTTCCGTTACATAATACATACATACATTTTTCTTGTCTTAAGTCACACTTTAAAAATTGTTACAACTTAATCATGGTTCTTATAATATTTGTAGTTGTAACGATAAAAGTGCCTTCAGATATTTCTTATTGCCACATTTTCTAGAAAGAAAAAAGCCCTAGATTCCATTATACATCTTATTCAATGTGTAAAAAGACCAAATGGCCCTTATGCGAGGGGCACACACATGATACATTTAACGGAGCTTTATCTAACAGTGTTAACTAAATGGATTAGTTCGGGTTCTGAAACACGAAAAATGGGCCACTAATGTATTTTATAAATTTTATGGATCAAAAGCAAAAAATAGTAAATGGATAAGGATCAATAATATAATTCGCTCTACTATATATGTGGTTTAGGCCGCGTTTTGCACAGACTAGATGAGACATCACATGACATGATATGACATGACCAATTATTTGTTGTACGTTTGATACGACTAGAACAAGATATGACAAGACCAATTATTTGTTGTACGTTCGATACAACTAGAATAATATATGACCAAAAAAAAAGTTAAAATGATTCGGTTACCTCTAAAATGTTATTTAAATTATTTTATTATATAATAAATTATAACACATATATCTATACATATATCGTAAAATACTAGAAGGGTACCCGTGCAATGCAACGAGATACGTCTTGATCTTATAATATTTCGTTTTATTCTTTATATCAGTCGATGTTATAATATGGTTTTATGTGATGTTTAAAAAGCGATAATGTTTTTATTTTTGAATAAAATATAAATTTAAAGATTTCATAAAAAATTGACAAAAATACATCGATATTAGTATCAAATTAACTATTTAAAATTTTTCATTTTTTATGTAATTTTTTAATTCAATTTTTTATTATAATTTAATTTAGGTTCAATAACAAAGTAATTTATATTTGATTTAATAATATGATTTTTTTATAAAGATAGTAATTAATT